TGGCAGCACGGCTTAGGTTTGCAAAGTTGCATCTAAACTAAACACAAGACTTCTGGAACACTGTCTTTTGGACAGACGAGACCAAAGTGGAGATGTTTGGCCATAATGCACAGCGCCACGTTTAGCGAAAACCCAACACAGCATATCGGCGCAAACATCTCATACCAACCGTCAAGCACAGTGGTGGAGAGGTGATGATTTGGGCTTGTTTTGCAGCCACAGGACCTGGGTACCTTGCAGTCATTGAGTCGACCATGAACTCCTCTGTATACCAAGGTATTCCAGAGTCAAATGTGAGGCCATCTGTAGGCAAAATGGAGAAGCCATGTGTGAAAAACTAAGTACACCTTATGATTCAATAGCTTGTAGAACCACAGCAGCAGCAATAACTTGAAGTCATCATTTTCTCTATGACTTCATCAGTCTCTCACATCATTGTGGAGGAATTTTGGCCCACTCTTCTTTAAGGCAAAATGGAGAAGCCATGTGTGAAAAACTAAGTACACCTTATGATTCAATAGCTTGTAGAACCACAGCAGCAGCAATAACTTGAAGTCATCATTTTCTCTATGACTTCATCAGTCTCTCACATCATTGTGGAGGAATTTTGGCCCACTCTTCTTTATTTTGCCTTTATTTTTGTAAAATAAATGATGACATGGTGTAATATGTCATGTGTTGTTGTTCATCTGAGGTTGTATTTACCTACTTTTGAGAACTGCTGATAGGTAAAACCATAGAACTCAATGAGGGTGTACTTTCTTTTTCACACAACTGTATATCTGAGGATCATCCATGCCAGTGACTGCCCACTGGCTTCATGTAGATGTTAAACAGGAGCAGGAAGGGTGTAGAGCCCTGAGAGGCTTGGAGGGGATAGCTTCCTCTCTAAACACCAACTGGTCTAGAGGAAGAAGGAGGACCATACAACGTCGTGCCCCCTGCTCCTAGTATCTGAGCTGGTTCAAAAGGAAACCATGATCAATAAATAGTATTGAAAGCTGCTGAGAGATCAAGGAGAGCCAGGATGATGTACCACTCACATTCTTCTCCCACCAGAGGTCATCCACAAGCATGATTAATTCTGCCTTGGTACTATACCCTGAAACTGAAAGAGGCCCAGATAATCCACTTCCTTCAGAGCTCTGTGAGGCAGCACCTTCTCAAGAACCTTCCCTAAGAAGGAGACAAAAATCCAATAACTCGTGGTCCAGTGATAGTCTCTTGAGTGGATGGACCATCCCCTCCCTCAAGGATCAATTCCAAGCCCTGGTATCGCCCTACTGGGTAGACCTGGCCAGGAGATGAGCCCCGCAAGCAGCACCAGAGCTCTGTTGATAGAGGCTATAATAACAGAATCTCAAAGGCTGGCAGGATTTCTCTTTCCCTCACTCTTATGCTAAAGAGAGTCTAGACAGGGACATCTTTTAATTTATTTCTTCCTGAGCTTAGCTGATGTTTTTGCGATGGCTGCCCCATATTTTGTTCAAGGCTATATCTGTACCTGGACCCAAGCACACATCATCTCCCAGGAAGCCTTAGCTAACCAGGAAGAATATCAGAACAAGTGGACCAAGTTGCAGCCCTGAGGACCCTGTCCACTTCCTCAAGATTAGCAGGTTCAAATTCTTGCCAGGTAACCAAGGCAGACCGTGCCTTGGTTAGCTCCAGGGCCTGCCCAGCCAAACTCCTACTTGGAGCAAATTCTAGTGACTATCTGGGAGATGCCTAGCAGGTTCAGCACAGCAGCCCTGCAGGTGTTCCTTCGCTTCCCAGGAAGGACCGAGTCCCCTTGAATAAGGCTGCCAGTTGGCTGTCTACAGGCCTGACAAACAGTTATCACCCCGAAGTCGTCCTTAAAAAAGGCTCTTACTGGCATTCAGTCAGATTTGCTCTTTGCCTTTCTTCATCAGCTTTCCAGGTGTTTCAGCTGTTCCGTCACCCAGCATTTCTCCAAAACCCAGGGGAAACTCTGGGATCCCCAGACAGAGGCCGCCCAAGCGAGGTTGTTCCTCATTCCAGGCGGCGGCTGAGGAGTAGCAGAGTTCAGGAACAACCCCAGGCTCCCTCTGAAACCCAGCAGGGCCCATCGGGTGCCTGTGGTGGACCAGTTAAGGAGGCCAGGTCTCCCTGAGGTGGGGAGTAGCACCAGAGCACACCAAAGCAATCGGGCAAGGGAGTGAGTATAACCTCCCCCATATCCAGAGCACACTGCCATTCCCTGAGGAAAAAAGCAGATCCAGCGTGTGACCTCCGCTGTCCATTGGGGCTTCAGTGACCTGGACCAGGTCTCTCCTGCTTGGCTTCTGCCTGCCCCTGCTTGCAATATATGGCTTCTGCTAGTATGACTGTGTGCGTCTCGTCAACTGCAGTTAGCGTGCGCTTACAGCTAAATTCTCCACATTCTTCTGCTGAAACTTAGCGGGCGGCCTCTCACAGCTAGCCCAATCTTGATCATCTTGTTGCGTCTTTGGGTCCTCCTCTTTCTCTGGATGCCTGCCCTGGGTAGGCAGATCCTACTGTTTTCTCCTCCTCTAGCTGGTTCCCCTGGAACGATCTTGAATCGCCTGGAGTTGCGTCTCTGGGGCTGCCTGAATCTGCCCCGGTTTGCTTGCCCCTGCAGGGAGGCCAGCCCCAGCGCGCCTGTTTTTCAGCTCCTTGGCCCATCTCAGCTTGCCCTGCTGGTCTGAGACATGCCTCACCTTTTCTTTTTCAGCAATTCCCCCGACTCTGATTATTCCCCTTAACTGCAGTTTGTACATTTGGGCAATCCCAGGACGGGATGGCCGAACATGTTTGCCTTCTCTGTTCTGTTGCATGGCTTCCGGTGCTGCTAATCAAAAGGCATTGTCGTGTTTTCCATCTGAAACTGACCTGAGCGGTTTCCAATTATATAGGGACTCTGTCTCATGTTCTTAAGGGGAACAGGATGAGGGAGGAGAACTGCCCAAGAAGAGTATTTTCTGGAAGCCCCCAAACTGCAGTTACAAAAACCAAACCAAGAAGGCAGCTTTGGGAAAATGGAATCACCTGACCAGGTGGCTGGTGCCCTTACCTGAGGGTGAAGAGTGACAGGTGGAGTCAAGCTAATGCTCTCCATTGCCTTTCCCTGCGCCTCCCAGGGGCCTCCTTCCACAGAAAGTTTGCTGCTTAGGGGCTCTTTGATCTTGGGGTCTTCTTGTGGGCTTGACACAGTGGCAAGGAGGACCTGTTTATTTTATTTTTATTACTAAGCTTGTATGCCGCCCATCTCCCCCAACGCGTGACTCTGGGCGGCTCACAATAACAAAAAAGAACAAACACACCAATCCCTCCAACAGTAACTAAAATCCATAAATAATTAAAATACAAACATACATTAAAAGCAGTTTGCAGCTGCAGGGGATGGGTCTCTCAGTGGCATCCATTCCTGGAGAGGTCTGAGTGGCCACTGCTATCCACAAGTTGCCCACCGCCCTTGGGATGATTGCAATGCGCACCTCGTGGGGGGAAAGCTCGGAAATTCTGGTGGCCGGGTTTCTCTGGGGCTTCCCAACAGGAACACGTGCCGTCGGCTCTGAGCAAGCTAATCCCGCTGCAGTGCCTGTTACTCCATAGAAATCCCTAAAAAGTTTGAGTCCCGCCTATCTGGCGGAACGGCCCTCCCCACCGTTGCGCCAGGGAGCTGTGGTCTTTGGCTAAAGGCTTGTTTGCACACGCTCATCCGGGAAGAGGCCCACCTGGCGTCAAGCAAGGCCCAGTCTTCCTGGTGGTGGTTTTGGTCATATGGTGTTCCCTCCCGCTGAACATTCAATCTGCATCTTCTTTGGCTTCTTTCAAGAATTTGAAGGCCCATTTTACACTCTAGTCTGTGTGGTTTTCTATGATAATGGCCAGTATTATGCGATGTCGGGTTCTTTCATTTTTTAAAAAGTCTTATATTTGGTATACCTACTTTTGTATTTATTGTTGCTGATTATTGGATGTGGATCAGATTTCTTTGCTGCACTATGAAAGATAATTAAATATCTTCTGCCCCAGATGCATCAGTGGGGTCAGGTGGGGTTCAGCCAGAGGCATCTGCAGCCTTCCCTGTTGGAACCAGCTTGGGGGTTTCAACATAGTACCCAGCCAACTTTTGGGGAAGGGCAATGTACCAGCTGCAGGAGCCCGTCTCACAGTCATGGAGCAACCACAGAAGAGGCCCTAATGCGTGCTTCTGCATGCTGCTGCTGGTGGCCATCATGCGGCTGCAGGCATGGCCTTCCTTCCGCTGTGCAGGAGTGCGCTATCTTTTCAGGCCGAGGCTGTATGTGTTCTCTGAGCACAGGGGACTGCGCTCAAACAAAGCAATAAATGTGCTTTTATCTGATTTAAATGTAAGCTATATTTCACATTTACTGAATACAATTACACTTGATGCGTCCCATGACAATGTGGTGGTAACTTTCAGAAACATTTGGGAGCCACACGTGGCCTTGGGTCCGCAACTGTCAGCTGTGTAAGGTTCCAGGGAGAGCACCAGCAATAAATTGGTCTCCAAGGAGACTGAAAAAGAGAGCAGCTGATCAAATTGGGGTTCCTCCCCCCCTTTTGTTCCTTGCCTTTCTCTTGGCAGTCATCTACATCTGTGGTCCCCTGGAGATGCTGCACCAAGTCATGCGTCGAGCCCACTACGAGAGCATGACCAACGGTGACTATGTCTTCTTCTACTTGGATGTCTTTGGAGAAAGCTTGCAAGGGGAAGGGAGACAGGGAGCTGCCAAGCCCTGGCGGAGCAAGGAGGGCCAGGACCCCAGCACCCTACGGGAGGCCTTCCAGGTCAGTCCAGAAGCATGCCAGGGTGGGGGGAGAGAAGAAGGAGCCCTGGACCCATGGACTGCTCAGGCTTGGGGAGGAGCCGGCGGGAGTGGAGTGGGCCAGTGGAGTGGGCCAGTAAGGAAGCCAAGGCTTGCTTGGGAGGCTGACGGGACTCACCTCTGTCACGTAGCACCTGAGGTTAGGTAGAAGAGTTCCTGGGCCAGGGAGGATGGAAGCACACCAGCCACTCTTCTAGACATGGCTCTAACCTCAGGGACGAAGATTCAGACTGTGGCGACCAGGGTGAAGCCTCCCCCTCCCGTGCAACTGGGGGAGCATTTGCACCTCCTCTGCTCTCCAGTTCTCTTCCTGTGCCAACAGCTCTTGACTCAGGCCTCTCTTGCTTAAAGGGGAAGAACTCTAAGGAGGAGCCGTGCATGCCTTTTTCCTGCCAGGGAGCAGGCCTGGCAGAAACTTGACTGCTAAAAGAGCTGAGCTGTCTGGTGTGGAGTGTCAGGGAGGATGTACCATGGGGCTTCACCACTTGCTACCGTGGCCTGCCCATAAACTGCTGCCAGCCTTTTCTGGAGCCCCCTCCCTGTGCCGCAAGGGGAGAAGCAAGGATTCTGGAGCTCTTGTGCAAAAGGAGTTTAGAGGGGACGGGAAAGCTGTTCTGAGACCAGGGAGCCAACAGAGGGGCCAAGGCATTCTACCTTTTGCTGAGGGGCAGTGTGGGAGGCCAGCCGGGCAGTGCTGTGAGGGGTGAGCAGAGTAGAAGCATCTGGAGAGCAGGCAACTTCAGACCTCAGGCAGCGGTAGCTTCTTTTACTCTCCCGGTGCCTCTGGCTCTGAGCATTCAGCCAGACTTCTGTCCAGCCAACATCTGCCAGGCTCAGCTGCTTGCTTCAAAATGGGGGAGTTGTGATGAAGCCAGACCTCACTGGAAGTGCAGACCTGTTTCTTTGCACCTTCATCTCACACACTTCCAAATGCAGATCTTGAGCCTTGACAACAGTCTTTGCCCCTCCCTTGCACACCCCACTAAAGAAGCCAATGCTTTGCAGAAATGTTCAGGAGCAGATGGGAAGGGTGAGAGCGAGGCCTGAGGCAAGGGGAGCCATATGCAGCCCTCCAGATGTTGAAATGCACCCACACGTTGGCCGTGCTGGCAAGGCAGATGGGAGTCATGTTGCAGCCTGGTGTGAGATTTCCAGACAGCTACGTGCGGGAAGCACTGGTGGGGGGGGCAGGGTGTGATTGCGGAGAGGGAGAAAGCTGGTGCAGGCACCTCAGCTTGCAGGGGCACATGGGCTCTCGAATCCCTTCAGCCAATGGCTTTTGTTGCAGACGGTGCTGGTGATCACCTATCATGAGCCCCAAACTTCTGAGTACCGAAGCTTCCAGAATCAGGTGATCCTGCGGGCTCGGCAGGAGTATCAGGTGGAGCTCAGTGGTTCACTGGTAAGCCCCCTTCCCATCAAGGCACCCTTTCCTCCTCCCTCTCCTTCTAACCAGGGCAAGAAGAGTCCCCCAAGGTCAAAGCTCCCTGGATGGTTGGAGGCCTTTGGGATTTTTCCAAGCGTTTTACAGAAAGGGATGCCCAGGGTAGTGGCCATGGATAAACATCACCCGTGGCCGGGTTCACCTCACCCACAGAGCCCCAAGCCAGGCACAGCAAGACCTGGGCACAGACCAACTAGCCTCATGCTGCTCATGGAATGAAAGAGGGTGGGGTTCACACCCCTGCTCTGGGACCCTGTCTGCAGCAGAGCTGGCCGGTCAGCCTGCTGGGGCTTTGGATTGGGAAGTCACCCTTGCGAGCAGCAGCTCCTTGTTCTACTTAGGGCTTGAGGTCACTAAGGTCATTCCTAGAGACACGAATGGAGCCCCTGGGTTATCTGTCCATCATCTTTATATGCTTGCAGTGAAGTTGCTACTGTGTGGGGCCAACTTTAAAGTGTCCTAGAAATAACTCCTGGTTCTATTTCCTGGTCTTGGCTGAAGACAGCAGAGAACTCCAACATGGCTGTGGAGCACCCTTCTTGAAGCATTAAGGCAGCCACGTCCTTCATGCTTGGCTTGGTGCAGCTGCTTTGAGGGCCTTCCCAGAGCGTGTGCTCCATTTCTGCTGGAACCGTCAGCAGAGCTGCTGGGCACGCAAGCATGTGCGCAAGCAACTGGCGAGGGGCCTCGAAATAGCGGCACCAACCTTTGAGAGGACACGGCTGCCTCTGCATCGAGAAGAGCACTTCACAGAGGCTAACTCGCTTTGCCAAGTGCCCTTTGAGTGCTCATCCCAGTTTCATTGGTTGCCAATTAAATGCTGGCTTCCCTAGAATGTGCTTCAGATTCAGCCAAACCACATGGATGCATTTCAGTACTGAACCTTAAGCCTCAGGTTTGCACAGTGCGCTGCCCACAAAAATCCTAACCAACCCAAACCAGGTTTAGCTTGTGTGAGTGCTGGGGTCAATTAAGACCTTTGTATGATCATGGCTAAAGTATGACTAATTGAAGGGAAGGAGAATGTCCAGAAAGGAAGTCACCAAACTGGGAGACCTTGGGGTTACGTCTGTGAGTCGGCTGCATTTCCCACTTTCCACGACTCTTGCAAGAGGAGACCTGCCCTCTGATTGCAGGGAACTGGTGGCTGGGGCCCCTCCCAGAGGATCGGGTATACTTCCGAGCCCCCTTACCACCTTCCCCAGGTTGGTGGAAATGGAGGCCCTCAGAGGGATCCAGCAAGCGGATCCATGAAGGAGAAAGGCCTTGAATGGCACTGCGGTGCCTCGGAGCCCTCTGCACGGCCATGGGAGGTCATGGGAAAGCCTCAGGGACCATTTCCATATCAAAAAATGTGTGGTGGGTGAAGATGGGCTGCTTGCGATCTTAGGAAACTTGACGAAAGTGCTCACTTAGAGAGCAGCCTTCCAAAAGAATAGAAATTTTGTGTTTTTCTGTGCTGTTGACTCTGTGACTCCCTGCGCCCTTCGCTCTCTGCAATACGTGTCAGAGTGCTGGAAGAGAGAGGGAAACAGGCTCCCCAGATTGGTGCACCCCAGTTAGGGAGTTTCTGTTCATAAACACCATTCTTCAGACGCGCGCACACATGAATCCCCTCTGCAAGTTGTCTAATCCTGTCAAAAACCCCACCAGCTAGTGCATTTCAAGGAGTTAGTGCCAGATCTGCCAACCTATTTCTCATGGACTCAACATTCTTCCTCTCCTGATGGTTGTCTAAATGTTTCTGTACATCTCACCCTGTTTGGTGGAGACCGTTGCATCTGCAGGGATCAGTGGGAGACACACAGATTGTGTGTTATAACAGGACCAAACCACAAAAACCCGCAGAATGAAAGGGACCCTTGCCCCACGCAGTCCGCCCGTTGGTGGAGGTCATGACGGTGTTCCTGCCTTTGCAGGGATCCAGAGAGTTTTGGCTCCCTTCCTGAATGGGGGGCTCTCGGGGTTCTTTCTGGCCTTTGCGCAGCAGGCCAGGGGAGCCTCTCCCAGATGGGAGAGTCCTTGCTGGAGCCGCCAGGTGCCCCCATGCTGTTGGGGGGCTTGGGGTGGTCTTTCTCGGCCTCCTGAGGATCTGCTTGCAGCCTGCTTTGAGGGGCTGGCATGGCGGAGGACCGCAAAGGCCGTAAGCCTGTCCAGCACTTGGGGGGAGCCATGCAGGTTCTTGGCTGCCCAGAGAAGGGCCCCCCAACGCGCTTCTGGTCCCTCTTCAGCTGCCGATGGCCAGTGCTACGACTCCAGGGGGCTGGGCTGGGCTGTGGGGGGGGAATTCACTCTCGGTCCAGGCAGCCAGCAGCCTGGGGCCTGGCGGGAGGGAGGTATGTGGCTGTCACGCCCATCCAGGCCAACAGCCATCCCGTTCTAAAGCAGAGCACATGCCCAGGCTCTGCTCAGATGGCTGCTCCCTGCTGGGTACCCGGAGCTGCCCCAGGATAAGCTTCATTGTGCCCATCCCGGTTGGCACAGGGGAAGGGAGGGAGGGAGGGGAGAGCGCTCTGCTTGAAAGAGCCCTCGACCCAGGCCCGCCTCTGCCCTCTCCAGCTCCTTGAGGGAGGCTGGGAGGAGGAGCTTGCCTGTCTCTGCCCCCCACTGCCCAGGTGATTGGCGCCTCCTGGAGAGGGGTTTGGCCTGGAAGCCCTCAGGAAGAGCAGGTGGCCACCCCTGCGGGGAGAGCGTTTTGGGGTGGGAAAGGACTGCCTGCCATCCCGGGGTGGGCCACACCTTGCCTTGGGAGGGGGGACCATGCAGTCCCCTTCTGCCAGAGGTGGATGTGAGGAATTAACCACTTCCTTCCCAAGGTGGAAGAAGGAGCGGAGCCAACTCTGGGCGCAGGCAGGAAGCTGCCTGCCACCCTCCCACACACATCCTGCCCCCTCCCCACCCGGTGCTGCTCCTATTTTTAGGCTCCCCTTCCCCTCCCCGCTTTCTTTGCAGTTTCCCAGGAATCCATGCAGAAAAAAGTGCTAAAAAGATAACCTCAAGGGAACCCAGGGGCTGCATTCCCACCTCTCCCCTAATCGCTTCCTGGGCTCTTCACGTGCCTTGAAGAATGTGCTGACTGCATGAGCCGGGCTTGCTCCAAGCGCTAAGCCCCCAAAGAAGCCACAGAACGGGCCAGCTGCGTTCCCCCCCCCCCAGGAGGCCCACAGCAATAAAGCCCCCAGCTCGCCCTGGCTGTCTTCCGGGAGGGCGGCAGGCGAGCAAGAGCCTCGAGGCGCCTAGTCCCACTTCAGCCTAGCTTAGCCTGGTGTGTGAACCCGGTCAGGGTTCTTCCTCCCACCCGCCGTGGTCTTTGGGGCAGAGAGGCGTGGGGCACGGGAAGGCAGCAGGCTGGAGACCCTCTTGTCTCTGGGCTGCAGCCCCATCGGCAAAAGCTGAGGCTGGCACTTAGAGCAGTTCCGGTCTCGCGTTTTAAGAAAGTGGAAGGCACAATGTTCCCGTTTTCTGCCTTGAAAGAGGGGCAAGTTCCAGCCTCTTGATCAAAGAGCCTGGAGTCATGGGCTCCTCCTGATCGCAGGGGGTGCACTGGGGGAGGAAACTCTCTGCCCCCGGGGCGTGCCAGCCCCTCCGTAGCAGAACAGAGAGGGGCTTCTCTGTTCTGGGGGTTAGACATTTTTGCCTGCTGTGGAAGGGAGACCAAGAGGAATGTGGTGGTCTGAAAGGAAAGTTCCAGCAGCTGGGAGCAGCCAGACTTACCTTCTTGGAAGGCACAACCAATGCCAAGCTGAAGGAATGGGGGTGCCATGCCATATACCTGCTGCCTCCCCAGACAAGGGGATCCTCATGAGGGTCGTCCCTCCAGCTGTGAACGAGGTCACGGCATGCTACGAGGGTGTGCCTTGGAGGGCACAGAGCAACGCCTTCACCCCCTCTGTTTTGCTCCCTGCCACACAGAAAAACCTGGTGGCTGGCTGCTTCCATGATGGCCTGGTCCTCTACACCATGGCCCTGAACGAGACCATCAACGAGGGCGGAACAAAGGGGAACACCAGCCGCATCCTGGAGAAGATGAAGGGGCGCACGTTCCAGGGTACTGGAGGGTGGGGAGGGGGCTGCAGGGAGGGAGGGGGCTGCCAGACTGAGAGTGAGGCTGAAGGGGCCTGGAATGGCCAGAGGGGCATCCAGGTCTGTGGCCTGGGCCAGCCTGGGTGACCTGCTATGGGGGAGTGGCACGTCCGCAGCTCCATCCGAAGGGGGGCAGCGATGCCAGCCCCAGCTGCCCCTGGAGGGTCTGACCAAAACGCATTGCCGGACTTCTGCTCCTCCAGGAGTCACCGGGACCGTGAGCATGGATCAGAACAACGACCGTGACACAGACTTCAACCTGTGGGCCATGGCAGACGTGAAGAGTGGCGAGTACCAGGTATGCTGGTGTCCAGGCCCAAGCAGCACCCTGCCCTCCCTGGCCAGGGGACTCTGGCGCTGCTTCTTCTGGACCAAGAGGGTCTGGGGCAGATACCGCCACTCCCTGGCCAGGGGCCAGAGAACTGTAGTGTCCAGCCAGGCGTGCTGACCATCCCCGCTTCCCCCCACAGGTGGTTGGACACTACATAGGGTCGGAGAAGCAGCTGAAGTGGCTGGGGCCCATCCACTGGGTGAAGGGGGAGCCGCCTCTGGATAACCCCCCCTGTTTTGACATAGACGACCCCTCCTGCGACAAAAGTGGGTCTCTGGAGGCAGCAGGGTCCCTGTCTTGCTTCCCAAGTGAAAGCTGGGGGAGAGACAGGGGCTCCCTTTACCCTAGGAGAGCTTTGGGGAATCCCTGACCCCCACTTTCTGCCCAGCGCTGCCTGCCGGCTACAGGCAGCTGGTTCTCTTCTGGCACTGCCCTCCCAGCGAAGGGAAGTGGGCTCATCCCCCCTCGGCTCCCTCCCCAGCAAGACCCACCCCGATGGCACCCAGCTGCCTGGCCATGCCCCTTCAGGGTACCTTTGTGGGTGTGGCCGGGCAGCGGAGCCCCTCCCCGACTTGGTGTGTCCTTGCAGGTGCCCTCAGCACCCTGGCGATCATGGCACTAGGGGCCGGACTCACCTTTATCATGTTTGGGGTCTCCAGCTTCCTGATCTTCAGGTGCGTGAGCCACAGGGCAAACTCTCTTGGAGGCAGGTGGCCGGAAGGGAGGGCCCCCAGGCCAGACAGGCGGTGTGCAGCCTGGAGGAGGAGTGGGGGCTGCTGGAGCCGGGCACCCCTCTGATGTTTAACCCTGAGCTCGGGGGCCATGGCTGGGGCACGGAGCTCAGACCGGCTGCTGGCCCTTCTCCCTAGGAAGCTGATGCTGGAGAAGGAGCTGGCCAGCATGCTGTGGCGGATCCGCTGGGAGGAGCTGCAGTTCGGGAGCTCGGAGCGTTACCCCAAGGGGGCAGGCAGTCGACTCACGCTCTCACTGGTGGGTAACCGTGGGTCCCCCCTTGCAGGGTCCGGGGCCCACCAGGCGCCACAGGAGCCCCATCCTCCCCAGCTGCTGGGCTTCAATGGCGCCCTCCCCCCACACTCCTGCCCAGCCACCTGGAGGCCTTGGCTGGCTGTGAGTCTGCCCCTTCTCTCCTCTCCAGCGCGGGTCAAGTTACGGCTCCCTCGTGACCGCCCACGGCAAATACCAGATCTTTGCCAACACGGGACTCTTCAAGGTAAGGCCCCCCAGCCCTGGCTGCATCGGGAGGCCAGGTGCAGGCCTGCATCACCCCACCCTCTTCATTCATCTGTTGTCCTCCAGGGAAACGTGGTGGCCATTAAGCACGTCAACAAGAAGCGAATCGAGCTGACGAGGCAGGTGCTCTTCGAGCTGAAGCACGTATGTATGGGGGGGCTGTGGGGTGGGCGGCAGTCTCTGGGCAGGAGGGCACAGGCGACAGCTCCCCCCGGTCCATGTTTGCTCACATTTGGGGGGCGCTGATGTCTCTGCCCCTCAGATGCGGGATATCCAGTTCAACCACCTGACGCGGTTCATAGGGGCCTGCATTGACCCGCCCAACATCTGCATCGTGACTGAGTACTGCCCTCGTGGCAGTCTGCAGGTGAGGCGGCTGTCCTGGGAGGGGGGCAGGGCTCGGGGGCAACCAGGGCAAGCACTGACCCCTTCCTTGCCCTGCCCCAGGATATTCTGGAGAACGAGAGCATCAACCTGGACTGGATGTTCCGCTACTCCCTCATCAACGACATCGTCAAGGTGAGGGAAGTGAGCGGACCAGCATCGTGGCCTTCGGACTGCCATGCTGTCCCCGCCCCCCGCCGGAGCTCCTGAGGGTGTCTCTGCAAGCTTCTCCAGGCTTCTTGCTGTGCATTCCGAGGACCCCCAGCTCCCCCCTCCCCACTGGGGCTCAGCCTCAAGAGGGCCTTCCTCTCTCCTTTGGGGATCCCCTTTTCAGCTGGTTGTCCCCCTCTCCCCCCTCCCGCCCCACACAGGGCATGGCCTTCCTGCACAACAGCATCATCGGCTACCACGGCAGCCTCAAGTCCTCCAACTGTGTGGTGGACAGCCGCTTCGTGCTCAAGATCACGGATTACGGCCTGGCCAGCTTCCGGCAGAGCCACGACAGTGAGGGCAGTCACGCGCTCTATGCCAGTGAGTGCCCGGCAAGGCCCCCTGCGCCCCGCTCTCCTCCTCTTCTCCAGAGCAGTAGGCTGCGAAGGAGAGGCATCCTGGGGTTTTGTGCCCCCCCCCGTGCTGTTCCCCAGGGAAGCCTGGTGAGCCCCCGCACGGCCTCTGACCCAACTCTCCGGCTCCTGCTCTCAGAGAAGCTGTGGACGGCTCCAGAGCTCCTGCAGAAGGGGACCCTGCCCCCCCCGGCCATGCAGAAGGCAGACGTGTACAGCTTTGGGATTATCCTGCAGGAGATCGCGCTGCGCAACGGGGCCTTCTTCGTGGAGGGCCTAGACCTCAGCCCCAAGGGTGAGGAGGGGTTGGAGGGGCGAGTGGAAGCACGCAGCCCAGGAGCCATTCCTGGCAAAGCCCAGCCCCGCTCGCCTCCAGCCTGGCCTGACCGAGGGGTGGGGCGCTGATTTACAAGCCTTGCATTATCCCCCAGAGGCGTCAGGAAACGTAAGCGGCAGAGGCCTCCCTCCCTCCTCCCTCCCTACCCGAGCTGCATGGGCAGGAGACCTCTTGCAGCCGAGGAATTCCTCTGGTCTGGATGGGCTCGGCAGCAGTGGCGGTCCAGCCATCTGAGACGTGCTGGAGGAGGAGGAGGAGGAGATCGCGATGGGTGCCCTTCACCTGTCGTCTTCTTCGGGTGCGCTGGAGAGGCGCTGCTGAGAGCCCCGTGCCATCAGGCCAACAGTTGGGCTATGCCTCCATCTTCCAGGGTTCCTCATCCTCAGAGGGCAGGCAATGCTTCTCACCTGGGGAGCCCCCTGGAGGCACCCCCAGCCGGTGTCCATGCCAGCTCACTCGGGCTCTGGCTGGGATGGGCCGGGCCTGGGGGGGAGGGGAGAGAGGGGAGGGGAGGGGAGGATGGTGCTACCCAGAACCAAGACTGGGGTTTCCATGCGAGAAAGGGGAAGGGGCGATGCCGTTTGCTGGTTTTGGCTGCTTTTGACCACACAGGTTTGACCCTGTGACATCTGTCTCTCCGGTCCTCCCCATTGTCCTTCACCACCACCCCAGGACGCTCATGCTCCCCTTCTCGCTCCTCATTGCCCCAGCGGCCTGTCACCCCTCCCCCCACGAGTCAGCTGCGCCTCCATCCCATCGCCCACACATTCACTCCTGTGCATCCCGCCCCACTCCTCCTCCCCAGAGATTGTGCAGAAGGTGTGCAACAGCCAGCCGCCCTACTTCCGGCCCACCGTTGACACCCGCCTGCACAGCGAGGAACTGGCTGTGCTGATGGAGCGCTGCTGGGCGCAGGACCTGGGTGAGCGCCCGGATTTCACCCAGATTAAAATCTTCATCCGACGGTTCAACAGGTAGGGTCTCCATTCCACACCCGCTCTTCTCCCACCATGCGGGGCTGGCGTGCATGGGGGGCACGGGGAGTCACAGCAAGAGCCCTGGTTTCACCTCCTGCCCCTCTGGGCAAGAAAGCGCAGAAGGTCTCCTCCCCCCACAGCTCTGGGGACCCATCCCGAGAGGGCCCGGGCAAGGCGTCTGGTTGCAACCATCCCCAGGTTTCCTTTTCATCGTGCCAGAGATGCCGGCATACCTCAAGAGGGCACCTGTTTTCCCCGAAGAGGATCTCCCTCTTCTCCCACTGACAGAAACAGGTCTGAGCGTGAGCTGAGCGCCTCCATTGCGGAGGCCCCCAAGGGCCTATGGCTGCTTCTGCTGCAGCCCCGAGACAGTTGCGTGGCAGGACAAAGCTGCGGCAGGATCTGTCGCAAGCCAGAGAAAACCCGCCAGTAGAGGCTGCGCGTGAGCGTCAGTGACATGCTCCCCAGGGCAGCATCCGTCTCTGGGTGCGATACCGATGGCTCCCGTGAAAGCTTCCGCAAGTGACTTTGGCTGTGTGGAAAGAAGGGCTCCCAGGCTGGGTCCCTGCCCCCAAGTCAAGCCAGCCTTGACCACCCTTGCCTCACTGCCCCTCCCCTCCCTGAGAGCGCCCCCGAGAAGAATTCCAGCAGAGCTCCAAGGAGGGCCTTGTCTGGAGGAGAGGCCAGTGCTGACGGAGGTCGACCCGGGGGGCAGATGCTCCCGTGGTCTCTGGGGGTAGGCGCAGTCCCCTTCCTGTGATGGAAGGATCCGACAAAGGCCTCCACAGTGAGGGGCTCCTGGGTGGAGGCGTGATGCCGTGCGCCTGGCCCACCCGCTCCTGGAGCTCCCTCGCCCGCTTGCGCCAGCCTCACTCTCCCCGCCTCAGGGAAGGCAGCACCAGCATCCTGGACAACCTGTTGTCGCGCATGGAGCAGTATGCCAACAACCTGGAGAAACTGGTGGAGGAGCGCACGCAGGCCTACTTGGAGGAGAAGCGCAAGGCGGAGAACCTGCTCTACCAGATCCTCCCTCAGTAAGCCCGGGGGCCCGGGGCCCGCTCCCGCCTCTGAGCGCGTGGGGCCGAGGGGTCAGCAGCTCCTGTCCTTTCCTCCCCCAGCTCGGTGGCTGAGCAGCTGAAGCGGGGCGAGACAGTCCAAGCCGAAGCCTTCGACTGCGTCACCATCTACTTCAGCGACATTGTGGGGTTCACCTCCTTGTCAGCAGAGAGCACCCCCATGCAGGTAGGGGCGCGGGCGGGCGGGTGCCTTGCTGCGTGTCTGCAAGGGATGCGGCTGACTCTGGCCGTCCTGGTTCGTGGTCGGGAGGCCCTCCTCGCCCAGCCCGCCGAGCAGTTCCCACGACAGACCAGGGATCTTTCCTCCCTGGAGGGGGAGCCGGTCCTTGCTTTGGCTTGCTTTCCCCACCCGACCCCGCTGCGGAGCCACGTCCTACTCGCGCGCGGCGCTGCGGCCGAGGAACACGGCCTGGAACCTCTGGCCGGCCTTGCAAACTGCACCAGGCCAGTCCTCAACTGCTGATTGCTGAACAAACCGGAACGGCTGTGTTAACCATGGCCTGTGGTTAGGACCGTAGCCAGCAGGCCTCAGTGGCTGTGTTCTTATGCGACCCATTGCAGTTCAGGACAGTTGGGAATCTGGCTGCTACTTTTAAGTCCTCTGGTAAATCATTGATTTGGGCGTAGCGCATTACATGAACACAGCCGTCCTGTCTGCTGGCGCAGCTTTAGAGTGCTGTGGAAACACAGCCGCAGAGAAGCAGAGGAAAGGCGGCGCTTGCTATTAACGACACCCCCAGTTCTTGGCGACCACTTCCGCAGGGCCTGTGTGTGGTGCCCCAGTCGATTCTCTCTCTTTGGGCAGCCCTCGCCTCCCCCCTCAGCTTTGTTAATTGTGCTCTCCTTGCTTTCCAAAAAACGCCTTTCCGCCGGCCCCTTTGCTCCCAAAAGCGCCTCCCTGCCTTAGGCCCGTGCGCACCTGCACAGCTTCGCAGCCTGATCCGCATCGTCCACCAGCAGTCTTGCCCCAGGATGGTCACCTGCTCTTGCTAGACTAGACTCCCCTGGCCAGCCCAGCCTGCTCACCTGCGTCTCCCCCAACCCCGCCAGGTAGTGACGCTCCTCAACGACCTCTACACGTGCTTCGATGCCATCATTGACAACTTTGACGTCTACAAGGTGAGCGCTGCTGCGCCCGGAGTCTCCTCTCCCAGCCCGGGCTCAGAGCAGCACCGCTGGGAGAGCCCGGCTCACGCTGCTCCTCGGCCGTAGGTGGAGACCATCGGCGATGCCTACATGGTTGTGTCTGGCTTGCCTGTTCGGAATGGCAAGCGTCACGCCCACGAGATCGCCCGCATGGCCCTTGCACTTTTGGAGGCTGTGAAAACATTCCGCATCCGGCACCGGCCCGGTGAGCAGCTGTGTCTGCGCATTGGTGTACACTCGGGTGAGTCTGAGGCAGGCAAGACCCCGGGCCCATCTCATTTGGGGGGGTAGAGCACCCCGGTTAAGCCCCTTCCTCTGCCTCCCTCCAGGGCCGGTGTGTGCAGGAGTGGTGGGCCTCAAGATGCCGCGCTACTGCCTTTTTGGGGACACAGTCAACACAGCTTCACGCATGGAGTCCACCGGCGAGGGTGAGCCTCCACCCTTCCTGGGGAGCCAGGCCCCGTTGTCCCCGCAGAGCCTTCGGCGGCCGCTTCTCCCAGCCTGGCGTTCCTTCCGGGGCCCGCCCGGCTTCACCAGGAATTTCCTTTCCCTTTCTGTAGATGCTCCGGTTGGATGCAACCCATCGTGCCCCATTGATGGGAGGCAAGGGAGGCTGAGGCCCAGAGGCCTTGCTTCTCCTTGATGGCCCTGTCCTCTTGAAAGCGAGGGGGGCTCCCTCAGGAAGAGTTGGGGTTTCATTAGTTTATATTAATTCACTTTTTATTGTGGTACTTAAGAATTGTTGTGAACCACCAAGGCTCACAAGCATGCCGCCGCCCCCATTTGGCAGGGGATCGGGGGTTACTGGTGCCGACCCTCTACCACCGGTTCCTTCCAGCCTTGAAGATCCACATCTCTTCCACCACCGAGGAGATCCTGGACGAGTTTGGCTGCTTTGAGCTGGAGCTGCGGGGTGACGTGGAGATGAAGGTGGGCTTGGGAAGGAGCACGCCGGCCCCCCGCGCAGTTGGGGGAGGGCAGACCCCGGCTGCGCACCTCGCCTTCACTGCTTTGAGGGGGGGGGGGTTTGCAAGAAAGGGGGCAAGGCTCTCCACACCCTTTATGTACCGGCTCCATTTCTGCTTCCCGGCAGGGCAAAGGGAAGGTGAGGACCTACTGGCTGCTGGGTGAGAAGAGCATCATCTGATTGGCTCCTCCCTCTTTGGGCACTGGGCAGCCACTCCTCCCACGAAGATGCCTGGGAATTCACTTTGCCTTGGAGCCGGGAGGGCAAGGAGGGGTCAGCCTGCAGGGAAGGACGCCCCCTGCCTGGGGAGGCTGCGGCTAGCCCTGAAGGCGGTGGCCGGCCTCTTGCTGCCCTGGACACCGAGGGTCTCCCTTGCCCAGCCTACAAAAGCCGTGCACCAGGTGCTGGAGAACCCCCTGCCTGAGCCCAGGTCACACAATGATGCCCTTTGCCCAGCCGGGTTCCTGACCCCAGCCTGTGCCCCCTCATGGCTCAGCTGGCTGAGACAACCTCTCCCGCCCACTTTTTCCCTCTGGTTGTAAATACAGGAATCGGGAAAACAATGTGGTCAAAACAGAAAGAGGGAGGGGAATAGCAGCCCACTCCCCCCACTATTTAGCTGGAGAAAGGATGGCACATGGTCTGCCCAGCCCTGGCATGCTTTTGTGGCTGGGGGCCAACACGGAGGTTTCCTGGAAACAGCCCTGGAGTTGCCAGGGCTTTAGCTCTTGCAGGGGAGTCAGCTGTTCAAGGAGGGGTCTTCACACCCCCTCAAATTCCTGCCTAAGCTTGGTGCTTTTCCACTGGCCCGGATGGCGGCAAGCCTGTTTCTACAGCTTGGGACAGTTCTCCGAGTCGTACGGCAGCGGCTGGCCAAGGTGTTCGGGGACAGGTGTTGTGAATGTGGCACACTTCTTGAAAGGGGTGTCGCCAGTCCGGATGCTGGAGGTGCCCTGCGGGGAGGGGGAAAGAGCCCTGAAGAGCCAGCAGGCGTACCTGACCTCCTCCCGCGTGCCCTGGGTTGCTGGGCGCAAGCCGCCTGGGCAGAACATACCCTCCACACGAGAACAACAGGTGCTCGGGCTGCCAGCCAGCCAACCGTGCCCTTCACCGCCCTTCCAAGGACGAGCCTCAGGGGGAGGGGGGCAGTAAAGGCATGCCAAGCACCAGGTTGGCACAGGACAGGATGGCACTCACCGGCACCTGCTGGGCATGTTCGAGCCAGAATGTCTGTGGTTGCTCCAGCCAGTAGTCGTGGGGCTGCGGGGAGGAAAAAGTCACATGGCCCCCAGGAGCTTTCTGGGTGGGTCCGGGTGAGGGAGGCAATGGGGCCTGGCTGCTGCTCTGGCACGAAGGGGCCCTTACCTGGGTGGGGGGCGGGGGCACAGAAAGGAAGCCTTCCTGCTTATAGTCCCGGCGGGTGGTGGAGAGGGACTCCATGGGCTCCAGCGGGGGGTAGACCTCGTCCTCAATCAGGCTCTTGCTGCAATGAAACGCCGCCGGCGGCCGCTAAGCCAGAAGCTGAGCACAGGGCCTGGGCCCAGCCCGGGCGGTGG